TAATTAATATGTACTGATATTACCATAAAAACTATCAGGTCTGTGCAGTGTCATAGGACATCTATGTACCAAGTTTCATTGAAATGTGATGATTAGTACTTGAGATATCAGTGGAAAAAACGAAAAGATTCATTATGCAAATTAGGTAATTAGTATCCACGGATTATTACCAAAAACTAATCAAAATCTAGCATTAGTTCAGAGCATGTATGTACAAAGTTTCATCAAAATCCAATGAGTGGTTGTTTAGATATCAGTGGAACAATCATGGAACAGCTAAAAATCAGCTAATTATCATGCAAATTAGGTAATTAATATGCACGGATTTTTACCAAAAACTAATCAAATCTGCGCATTGGCCCAGAGCATCTATGCACCAAGTTTCATCAAAAACCGATGTATTGTTCTTGAGATAGCAGTGGAACAGTCGGACACACATACCCACATACACACACACACACACACACAGACACACTAACTGCAAAGACTCCCATTATGTGCTTCGCACATGGGAGTCAAAAACTGAAATAAAAACGCACTGCCCCTTGCAGTTTTTTAATAATATTTACCTGCTGTTTGGTTCTCTTCCTTCTATCCTCTGCAGTGTACCAAAACAGTCACCAACAATTAACTGAAAGAGGCAAAATAATGGTATCATATACCAGTAATAAGCTACTTGAAACATTAGTATGGTGTGTGATGCAACAGACTTAGCATAGTAATAGTAGAACGTAAGACTCAATACTGGTGAATGCATACCTCTGGTATCTTCATATCTTTTGTGTTAGATGTAGTAGTTAGTATAGGCGTTGGTGATCGGAATATACTACCATGTTTATCATCTTTAGTTCTCAACCATGGTCTTGTCTGTGGAACAACACTGCCTCGTAGAATACCATAAAGGCCTTGATTTCCAAACACTATTGGAAGAAACAAATGTATATTTCAATACATTACACCAAATTATATATACAAGATTATTTCAATCACAGATTCATAGAAACCTACCTAGTTTCTTGTACTTGCCTATATAAACTAGGCCCGGGGCCTTGACATGTAAAATTTGGATAGTAAGTGGGTGGGCCACCTTAGAAAAGATTTTTTTTATTCAACCTTGTAACCATGTTACCTCCTCTAAAATTATTTATAATTATTTTCATTCATTGTGTCGGATAAGGAGAATATTATGTCTTCTGGGAAAACAAAATCGTCGTCTTTGATTTCCACAACACTTTCACAATAAACACACACATTTTATTACAATAACATTTACATACCATCTGAATTTATGGTGTAAAAATTATTAGGGTGACCGGTCTGTGGGAAAACGATCAAAGATAGATCTTTATAATCTTCATTGTGGAATGTTTTTGATCATATGCAGACTCTTGATCTGCCATGATGTTTTTCTCCTGAATTTGGCAAACACCCTCTGACCTCACAAGAACCAGATTTTATGACTTGATGATCACATTCTTGGTGTTTCAGAAGCTACTTGCTTCCAATCTCAAAAACATATTGATTACCGGGTAGTATTGCACATTGGGTTCATCATGAGTAATTACAAAGAGCAATTTACAGTTTTTCATGTAATTGATAAATAATAAAGGTAGACAATCAAGTTTTTTCATGTAATTGCAGGAACTAAACAGCCCTCTTCCGAGCTACCACACACTCCAAAAAGAGAACTACTGTACCAACTACCAGTAATACTATGATTTTCATGCAATCAAACACTTTATACCTGCATATTTTGATAATCAATATCTTTATTTTTAAGATTAAACCCATTGTTGACACCCAGTAAACCATCCTGGTCATATAACCAGGAATCTCCAGAACTTGCTAAATGTCTATATTAAATAAGGGGTGGACTTATACCAAGGTAGGGATAACCCCACAGAAATATCCAGTCTTGGATAAATTGCCAAATTAAAAACGTTTACAGTGATTGTACTACTTTTTTAGGTCAAAGCTCCACATGAGCATAGCCTAAACTCAAGTCATTCAGAGAACACAATGGCATAGTGAATCTTATGTCCTCTCACTGATTGGCTGATACCATGGAAATGTGCATGCACACTGGTAAGTCTTGCGGTCATATACTACATCTAGTCTACACATGTACTATGAACATGAATCCACATATGTATTTATTTATTCTATTCCTACACTACCTGTGTATTCTTCATCTTTCCAGATTTCCAATTGTGTAACTGTTGACAATTCCTTCAGTTCTTTGTCTAATAACTGTTCACTGATTTCAGGAAATGATTTTAAATGGTTGAATACAGTGTCATTCTCAGCTGCTGTCCTTTCAAATGGTCTGTAACATAAATATTACAAATGATGTA